GTTGTAATTTGCACCCTACCACCTCAAGTTTATTCCAGTTTAGGACTTTGCCAAAATTTGGCACAATTCTGGGTTTGGGCTTCCTCAGTTTGAAGTGTGGGATTTTCTCGAGCTAGTATTGTTGCTGAAAACCCTTCACACTTGCTGTCTCAAAAAAAAAGGGACACCCCCACCCCCATCCTGCTGCTTCCCTGTGAGTTGAGGTGCAATAGACCTGGGACTCCGTGCTTGTGTCGTTCCCCTCCCCCCCACGCTCCCCAGCCCTAAAATCAGCAGTCTGAGCTTGCAGGCAGCAAGCCCTTCCCCACCCGGTGATGGGTAGGATGGAGGCAGGGTGAAGAGGAAGTAGAAGATGATGAGGACCTTGCTGTCTGTTTGGTACGCAGTGTTGGTCTTTATTTTAAAACAAAAGGCTTCTGGCCTCATGTTCAGTTTACATCTGTGCATCTCTGACATGTTTTTATGCCTTCACCATTTCTCCTGGAAAAAACAGCGCTGCTTTGAAAGGTAGTCCACCTTGTCTGTCCCTGCCATTTTCCTGAAGGTGTTGAGAGACTGAAAATCCATCCCAGAAAGAACAATTATTTCTGCCAAACCTTCCCCCACCTCAAAGGAAGGGTGGGAAATCAGAGCCTGAGAAGGGTGGGGCCCCAAAGGAAACGAAACCACTTCCGAATGCTAGGAAGCAGACCTAGATGGAGTTCTGAGTCAGGGTTTTACTGTTTTACATTTTGATGGTGAAAGTTTGGATCCCAGAAGCAGAGTTTGAAAATGCAAAGACTGAAGAACAGTCACTGGATTTCCTGTGAGTTCAGTATCTGGGAGTGTTGGTCTGTTGGTAGTTCAGGATGTGACAAGGAACACCTTGCTGGAACCGTGTTCATCCTGCCTCTTGTAGATGTAAAAGGTGGTGCTCACAGCATCAGACAGCCTCTTCCTTTTGTGGGTCTGTCCCATCACTCCAGGGAGAGCGGCTTCTAGCCCTGATACAAGTCACAGTTCTCTGAAGAAACCTGCCTGTTATTTGAGAACTGTTGTAACAGGCTTGCCTCAAAAGCTGAGATTCAGCTAAAGAGGACTAAGGACTACAAAGTACCCTTTGCTTCAATTTATTAATAAAAAGTCCATTGACCTGGAGACAGAAGATTGGTATCCGTCAGCTGAGGAAGACAGAGGGCTGGAGAGTGACACCTTAATGGGGATGGAGTTTCCTTTTCCAGTGATAGAAATGTTCTGGAACTAGACAGAGGTGGTTCTGCACACATTGTGAATAGTACTGAACAGTACACTTTACAAATGGTTAAAATGAAGAATTTTATAGATATTTTGCCACAATAAGAATCATGGACTATTTAAGATTATTGATATCTATGAATTGAATTAAAAAATAATTTTGTAACCTTGGCTGTCCTAGAGCTGGATATATAGGCCAGACTGGTCTAGAACTCACAGAGATCTACCTGCTTCTGTCTACAGCCTGCAGGGATTTATACCTTTTGTATGTCTGGTGCCCTGTCTACCAATTCCTTATTGACTTATGTCTGAAATCATGTGGTATTTCACATTCTTCCTTTTCCCATTCTCTTCCAGTTTCTTTTCTGTTCATTTCTTGGCTCTGGGGAGTTGGTCATTTTTCTACCACCCTTCCATGTCACAACTTTGTCTTTCCAGTGCCTGCCTTTCCATGGAAGCGTCTGGTTATCCATGACAGAGCTGCATGTGTCAGGGTCACCAAGTCTTCCTGTGGGTATCACTACTGGAATGTAGCTTGTGGGCCAGGAGGTAGGGTGGAGGAGAAGCCAGCACTCCTGCCAGGGCTGCTGCCCTTTGAATCTAACACCACAGGCTGACCCTTGGTCTAACCCAGACCAAGTCCATGTTTGTCTCCTCTTCTTTTCCAGACTTAAGCTTTTACCTTGGTGTGTTCTTTGGGTGCAAGGCACCTTTGCTCCTGCCTCCTGCTGGGGTTTCAGGTGTGCATCACAACTGCTTTTTCTACATTTCTTTAATCTAGAACCTTCACTTAATTGAGTTGGAAGGTCCTTTGAATTGGCCTTTTCTCTTCGTTGTCTTCCAGGTATGAATAGTGACAACCTTCTTGACAGCATTAATCACCAAAGGTTAAATGCTATATCTGGTCTCATCATCAGTTGTGCCTTTTCTGAGTTTGTGGAAATACTCAAGTCTTAACTCTTCTGTCACATTTCTTCATGAATGTGTTTTCACTTGTCTTTCCTGGACCGCCAAGAGTTTTCCTGATCATGTCAACAGTGTTCCGGATTTCGGGAAGCATATGTATAATCCAGCATAGGGCGATGGCACTGGCAGGGACAGTAAGCCATGGCCCTCCCTCAGCCACTTGTATTGCAGATTGTTCCTGCTCCCTGAACAGTACCTCATGAGAAAATTTAGTAATTCCCTCCTATATCACAGACGAAAGGTAAATTCATGTCCTCAGTTTTAAAATACATATTATAGGGGCTGGAGAGATGACTCAGTTGACAAAATGCTTACTGAATAGCCATTAAAACCCATGTAAGAAGCAAGGCATGGTGACACACTTGTGTTATCTTAGCATTCAGGAGGTAGAGACAGGGGGATTCCTGGGACTTGCTGGATAGCTAGTCTAGCCAAAATGGCAAGCTCCAGATTCATGGAGAGACTGTCTTGAAAGATGAGCAATTGAAGATGACAGCTTATATCAATCTCTGGCCATGAGCACACACACATGTACACATGCACTCACAGAACAGTTCATCTTATTAAGGGCTGAAATGTCAAAATGGACAAATGTGAACATGTAGTTTAAGTCTTGACTCACTAATACTTTTTGTTAATTTTGTTAGTGAATTGTTAATAGAGCTTATTTGTTGCCAGATAGAGAACCATGAGTAATGGGGAAAATAAGAAAGCTATTGATATAGTAGTTTATGTAGATCAGAACTGTTAAGAACAGGGAAGAAAAGGCAAGAATAGGCACATAAAGGTACTACACATAACTTTGGAATGACAAACAAGCATGGCTTGTCTTTAATTACTTTTCTATTGTTATAAAGAGACACCATGACCAAGGCAGTTTATAAAAGAGATCATTTAAGTGGCAGCTCTCTTCTGGTTTCAGAGGGTGAGTCCTTGACCATCATGGTGGCCAGTGTAGCAGCAGGCAGCTGGCATGGTGCTGGAGCAGTAACTCCGAGCTCACATCTTATCCTCAGGTTGGGGGTGGGGAGTGGAGGGGAGCACTGGGCTTGGCATGGGCTCCTGAAACCTCAAAGCTTACCCCAGTGTCATATCTCCAGCAAGGTCACACCTCCTAACCCTTCCCAACCAGTTCTACAGACTGGGGACCAAGCATTTAAACATGAACCTCTGGGGGCCATTCTCATTCAAATCTCCACCACAGCATTGGTGCTGGTATTAGTTTCCTAGGGCTGGAAGAACTGGGGATTTAACCAGCAGACTTCAGTGAATTTACAGGCCTGGGGGATAACCCTGAAAATGAGGACCCAGTAAACCCCAGCTCCCTGTGACATTATACTGGAGACAGTGAAATTCAATCCCCGATCTTTGGTGTGCAGCCATCCCTCCAATCTCTTCCTCTGTCACTGTCCACATTTTTGTCTTCTGAGGACACCATGATGGTGAATTCATGTCTAGTATGTCTCATCTAGATTTACCTGCAGCAGCCCCATATCCAATAAAATCATGTTCAGAGGCACCCAAGACTTCAGCATGATGTTCTTGGTAGGGTTCAATCCAAAGCAGTACTGAATATTCATAATATTAACTGGGAATTTTAACCAATGTTTCACTTAATTAATTTTGAGACGGTCTCTCTAGGTAGCCCTGGCTGTCCTGGAACTCACTTATGTAGACCAGGCTGGTATTGAACTCACAGAAACCCACCAGCCTCTGCCCCTTGAATGCTGAGATCAAGGGTGTATACCACCAGTCCTAGAGTCACTTAAATTTCTTTATTGTGTTCCAGCTGAATGCTGAGAACAGATTGAGTGAAGCTGAATATGGTTCTTGCCCTCATGGGGACTTGTAGCCTTTTAGAGAAAAGAAACATTAACCAGTCACAGGAAAGAGAAATGTGACAATAGCCACATGGTTCCATGAGCATTTATCAAGGGCACTTGACTAGTGCTGGGAGATGGCAGGATGGAAGGTACAGCGGTGTTGGGGCTACTTGATGTCTTTGCTCATTTGTTTGGAGCCCTCCCTGATTCTTGACAGTTGTCACCTTGCTCTATCTTCATAATAGCCCTATTATAGGGCATGCAATATTTCCATGTTCTAGATAAGGAAACTGAGGCACAGGGAGGACTAACTCCGGGCATCATGTGATGTGGCCTTCAGTCAATGACAGTGTTTTACTAATTGACTTGGCTCTCTTCTTTTCCTTTGTATTTTTTTCCTGCCGTTTGCTTTGGCTTTAGAAACTCCTCCACATCTGGGCATCTCTCCAGGTTTGCATTTGCAGCATCCTTTGGTTATTTGAGTTCAGTGTTTGGGTGAATAAGACTGCAG